AATCCAACGAGCTCAAGATTGCTCAATTCCGACATCGTTAAGGCACTCAAATGTCCATCAAACGTCATCTGATCAAGGGAAGCTCTCCGGATCGTCCGATCAAAATGGTTCATATTCCTGCATTAATTGCACTCAAAACACTATAAATAGAGCCTCACCCCTCACATGAAAGGAATGGGCTTAAGAGAGAACTTGAGGCTTTGAGAAGGAGCTTAAGTCCAAGATCATCTTCGTCATCGTCGATCGTCGTCGACCACCACCGACCGTCGACAACGACCGACGACCTCTGTCGACCACCGACGACCTCTGTCGACCACCGTCAACCACCGTTGAACACCGTCGGGCAACGACCGTCGGCCACCGTTGAACACCGTCGATCACCGCTGACCTCTGTCAACTACCACCGACCGTCACCGACTGTTGTTAGTCACCGCTCACCTCCGTCAACCACCGCTTACTGGACGTCATCAGTCGACGTCATAACGTGGAAAGCTAGTAACCCTTTCCCGCCTGTGGGACAAGGGGCATCTGTAATCATCATCTTATAGTGGATTTTTACAATTGGGCAAGGCCCCGTGGTTTTTCCCTTTTTACGAGTTTTTCACGTAAAAATTTCTGGTGTGATCACAGCTTGATTCACTTTCATCTGAGTGTGTACTGCATTTTCGTGCAACGCTAAGACGATAATCCATTACTCTACCGCCGCGAATTTTCTAGCACGCATTATATATATATATATATATATATGAAGAATTCGGTTGGCAGGTATGTATAATGTATGTAATATTAAAATTTTAGGTGTTAGTTATAAAAATTAATAACAACTGAGCAAAAAAAAAAAAAAAAACTATATCGCACTTTACCTACTCTTTAATGCACAAGCTACACACGATCTTTCGTGTCCACCGCACACAGGTCATTGACTCATTATTACGACCTGTTCGTTTCCATTCCCGCACTTCTACATCGCCTTCCTGTTCACTATTCAGTTCTGTAGACTTGCGCCGCATTATAAAAGACCTCGAATTCTCCCTGAGCTCTAGAACTCGCCACTGTTGATCCAACTCGAGTTAACGAAGGTTAGGAAAGTTTTGTTTTTTCTCTTCGCACCTAGTTCTTTCTCATCCACCGCGAACCCAGAATATTCGCAGACTTACTGGCGGCTTCAATTTTAATTTTCATTAATTTAGGATTTGTACATAAACTCTCCGGCGTCACCTGCTTCCTCCTCCTCTTGGGTTCCACCTCCTCCGTTTCATGCGCGTTCATTGATCTTCGGGTCGATTTTCTGTCGAAGGATCTCGCCGGCGTCTCCCACTCCCCTGGGCCAAGATTTTCTGTGCGTAGAGGATTTCAGGTGAACAAATTAAAAGAAACCCGCTTTCTTCTTGCCTTGTTCTTGTCCTCCGCAGATATTTGGAAGTAATTTGGGTTGTAAAATCCCTTATTTTTTGTTGCCTGCGCTCCCTTGCGCAAGACTAAAACCCTATAAAGGTCATACTTTTGTAGAATTTCCCTTTTGTGAGGTTACCCTGCACTTCTCTCTGTCTTTCGGTTCCTTCTCTAGTTGTTTTGGTGGTCTCTAGTGTTTCTCCACCCTGATAAAAATATCATCTTTCTGTTACACATTATATATAATTTTCTAATCCCTGAGCAGCCAAACATCTCTGCTAGGAAACAATCAATATTTGAACTTACCCACAAATCACCGTTAACTATCTCTTCTCACATAATTGTGCACCTCACTCCACTTCTACAAATTTCAATGCCCACTTAGTCGAATCAGAAGATCGCTCTCATGGCAACGCTCAACTTCTAGCTGCTTGCCCTGATGTCACTTGCCTGCGGTCTGCCCCTCATCGAGTGTGTATACTGCCTCGCCTGTGCCCGTTGGGCTTGGAAGCGCTGCATCCATAACGCCGGCCATGACAGCGAAAACTGGCCCATTGCCACCATTGAAGAATTCGAGCCAGTTCCCCGAATATGCCGTTATATACTAGGGAACTATGAGGATGATCTTGAACACCCTCAATGGGAGCCACCAAGAGGTTACAACATGAATCCTCAGTGGGTTGTTCGCCGCAAAACTTATGAAGAAACCCGCGGCCGTGTGACGCCTTACTTGCTCTACGTCGACCATTCCCATTCTGATATTGTTCTTGCCATAAGAGGTCTAAATTTGGCGAAAGAAAGCGATTATGCTGTGCTGCTTGATAACAGGCTTGGAAAGAGGAAAATTGATGGAGGTTATGTTCATAATGGGCTGTTAAAAGCTGCTGCTTGGGTGTTGGATGCAGAATGTGATACTATAAAGGACTTGCTGGTTAAGTATACTGATTATACTCTCACTTTTGCTGGACATTCTCTTGGATCTGGTGTGGCTGCAATGCTGGCAATGCTGGTTGTTCAGAATCGACAGAAGTTGGGTAATATTGACAGAAAGAGGGTTCGATGTTATGCAATAGCACCAGCTAGGTGTATGTCTCTCAATTTGGCTGTTAAATATGCTGATGTGATAAACTCAGTTGTGCTTCAGGCAAGAAGACTTTCCTCCTCTTTTGATTTATGGATTCTGATAAAGTGTTTGATTTGTTTTAAATGATGTTAGCTGACCTCAAATGGCTCACTTAAATGTTTTTTTGTGTCTTTAAAGTACTGCCATCCACATAATTTAAATGCACTTTATTGTTTTGGGGCATTTGCATACATACCTCCCATTTCTTATGTATTTACATATCTTGCACCTCTACTTGACTCTTTTACATTTATACCACATAAGTCTTTAGTGTCACATCAAAAATACTGCTAAAAGTGAAATATACCTTTTCATGAATAGTTATGGTGGCATATATGTAAAAATTGAAGTTTAGGTGTTAAATATGTAAATACATAGGAATTGTGTGGTATCTATGTCAATCTTCCTTTTGTTTTTTCTTCTTCTTCTTGAAGCAAAGCAATATTTTATTGAACATGTATCGATTTTATTACCATGTTAACGGCCTTCTCTTTTTTTAGATGATATTGTAAGCTTTGTAACTTTCTTACGTTTTGCATGTTTCTTCATGTAATGCTTATACCAGTTTAGGCTTATATTTTGTATGCATGGTCATATCCAATCCAATAGTGCCAGTGAATATTTAATGCATTTGTATTATTAGAGATGATATTTGGATTATCCTTTTAACTGTTTGTAATTGCATTTATAACACAAAGAGCCTGTGGAATTAGGTGAAATGGAATAATAATAATAATAATTTTGGTGGCATTGTTGTTATAGATGATGCCAATGATATCATACTTTGGTTTTTACCAAATCAAACATAAAGTGGTTGTGTGTGGGGGGGGTGGGTTTGTGGTATTATTATTTTGGTAAAACGTCTAGTCATGGTATGTGTGATATCCTCCATTATATATGCACAAATCACTTCAATTTATTTTTCTCAACCTTATTTTCAATCGATGCTACTTTTACCATCTTTCATATATAATTATATTTTTCCGTGCATGATATATTTTAGTGAACGATCATGTTATATTATATTATGGTATGATCAAATTCTTCGAATCTATTGATTTGTGATTGAGATAAGTGGGTGATTAAGGTGGACAATGTGTATCGTGTTATAAGCAAAATTATAAAATTGCTATTATATTTAATATTTTATTATTAATTTGAATATTAGAAAGCAAAGAAATTTTATTGGCAAAATGACATAGAAGAATTGTACAGAAACTTGCTCAAAATAAGAATTAACAAATGGAAGAGAGTGTGATCTTTGTTTACAGCACCTTTCTAATTAAATCAATGGAAGTTATCCTTATTGTTATTTTATACTCATCTTAGAAGCATTAACATAACTTTTGTTTTCTGCTTACTAACGGCTAAAGTTGATATGTTTTTATAACGTTCTGATGCCAGTTTTTAAGTTTTGAAGGTTTTGATAATTATATTAATGAATTCTCAAGTGAGATCTCCTAAGATTCCGATAGGTCTGGCCATTAAATCCTATAAGAGGACTTTTTTATGAATATTCAAATTAAATATGACAACGTAGGTTTATTTTTCATTGAGATTGCAAGTGATTTGTGTTGTTTTCAAAACCAAAGAAAATAATGGTGATTCATGACGTTCTATGACATGGTATTAGTTGTGAGATGTCCTTTTTTACTCTGGAAAATATTGTGCAAGGAATGTCTTTCATATCTAATGAGTTATGTAGGTGTTGGTTTCTTTTAATGTATCATAGAATTTTATACCTGATTTTGTACCATAAACAGAGGGGTATTCTAAGAAAGAATACTGAAAGAGTTTTTCTACTAACATGACATCATAGTGGGGTTAGGCACTCCATTTGCCTCTACCATCACGGTGAGCCCAACAATCAAAACCTTTCTCACTTTCCTCTGTGATGTAAACTTTGCGTTGATCGACATTTAATGCTTCTGATTTTCTTATCACCTAGTTGGGGCTCTGAAAGGCGCTCGTGTTCATGGTGTGGTTCGCATCCTTATTCTTTTGGGGCATTAGGAATGTATATTGAGTAGCATGGAGTTGCAAATGTAGATTAGGTTAGGTCCTAGAGATTTTCTAAGCTAGCTAATACAATTTCTAAGGTTTAGTTCAATGATGGGAGAATCAAGGTTTCCTTTGGGCACCCCATAGTTAATGACACTATTGGCCTGATGCTTGACAACAACCGTAAGAATGCCACCATGCTCTTCATTCGTGGTTGGAAGTTAGATTTATAGTTGCTAATTAAATGAGATGAATAGTCAACTTGATCAAAATCATATCGTTTTTATTGCTATCTACATCGCCTGCAACATTGTGCTCCTTAAAAGAATCAAATTTATTTAGGTTGATTGTCATTTCATTTGGAATGCTATGATTTCCAATCCAATAAGATTGTCACTCCTTGTATCTCTAATTCAAAGGAAGTGACAGATATTTGATTCATCTCATATTCAGGTTGGTTGTTTGCTCCATTAGACAATCACTTGATTTAGGCCCCGTTTGGGACAGCTTAAATGTGCGGCGGCGTTTTTGAAAACGCCACCATAGCGTTTGAAAATCACGTATTGCCTGCGTTTTTGAGAACAGCTTTTTTTATTTATGTTACACGCGGATCGCGGGTATATCCCCGCGATCCGCGTTTCGGCTCCAAAATTTCCTTCGGCTACCCTCAACCCCGCAGCCGACCTTCCT